CCAGACCCCTCCCCACCTCTTCTCTCCCTGGCTGGGTCCCGAGGGCAGCTGCAGGTACAGGTAGAGTTTGTCACTGTCCGAGAACTTCTGCACGTCCTGCTGCGCTCCCAGGGGACACGGGGACACRGGGACAGAGGGGACATGGACACGGTTTAGGATCCATGGGGAGGGGTCCAATCCCACCCCAAAAATCGGGATAAAGGGGATTCCCCGCTCACTCCAGCCCCGCGTTCCCACAGACGCTCACCAGGATGGAATCCACCTTGCTCTGCACCGATTTGCTGCGGGGATGAGAGCGGTGCTCAGGGGTGACTCCAAATCACCCCGGGGTGACCCCAAAACACACCAGAAACAATCTCAAATCACCCCAGGGTGACCCCAAATCACCCCAGGGATGACCCCAAATCACCCCGATCCCGATCCCAGGGATGATCCCAAATCAACCCAGGGGCGACCCCAAATCACCCCAGAAACAATCCCAAATCACCTCAGGGATGACCCCAAATCACCCCAGGGATGATCCCAAATCACCTGGGATCCCAATCCCAAATCACCCCAGGATCAATCCCAAATCACCCTGGGGTGACCCCAAATCACCCCGATCCCGATCCCAGGGACGATCCCAAATCAACCCAGGGGTGACCCCAAATCACCCCAGGAATGACCCCAAATCACCCCAGGAATGACCCCAAATCACCCGGGATCCCAATCCCAAATCACCCCAGGGATGACCCCAAATCACCCCAGAAACAATCCCAAATCACCTCAGGGATGACCCCAAATCACCCCAGGGATGATCCCAAATCACCCGGGATCCCAATCCCAAATCACCCCAGGATCAATCCCAAATCACCCTGGGGTGACCCCAAATCACCCCAGGAATGACCCCAAATCACCCAGGATCCCCATCCCAAATCACCCCAGGGAAAATTCCTGACCCTCCCTATCCCACCAACCCTTTTTGGGGTTCTCCAGAGGGAATTCCCGATCCTCCCCACCCCACAAGCCCTTTTTGGGGTCTCTGCAGGGAATTCCCGATTCTCCCCACCCCATAAACCCTTTCTGGGGTTCTCTGGAGGGAATTCCCAATCCTCCCTACCCCATAAACCCTTTCAGGGCACTCTGGAGGGAATTCCCAGTACCCTAAATCCCAATTCCCACCCCATAAACCCTTTTTGGGGTTTTCCGGAGGGAATTCCCGATTCTCCCCACCCCACAAACCCTTTTTGGGGTTCTCTGGAGGGAATTCCTGACCCTCTCCACCCCATAAACCCTTTTTTGGGGTTCTCTGCAGGGAATTCCCGACCCTCCCCACCCCATAAACCCTTTTTGGGGTTCTCTGGAGGAAATTCCCAGGACCCCAAATCCCCCATTCCCACCCCATAAACCCTTTTTGGGGTTCTCCAGAGGGAATTCCCGATTCTCCCCACCCCACAAACCCTTTTGGGGTTCTCCAGAGGAATTCCCACCCCACAAACCCTTTTTTGAGTTCTCTGGAGGAATTCCCACCCCATAAACCCTTTTTGGGCTTCTCTGGAGGGAATTCCCACCCCACAAACCCTTTTTGGGGTTCTCCAGAGGGAATTCCCGATTCTCCCCACCCCATAAACCCTTTTTTGAGTTCTCTGGAGGAATTCCCACCCCACAAACCCTTTTTGGGGTTCTCTGGAAGGAATT